CTCCCTCCCTCTCTCCCTTTCTTCCTTCTTCCTTCCTTCCCTTCTTTCTCTTTCTTTTTTATTTGCATAAAGCAATTTTGATAAGATTAGATCATACGGTTTTTTAAAAACTCCACTGTATACATTCCTAGGGGAAAAGCAGGGCCAGAATCCCTAAAGCTAGCCTGAAAAGAACGGTGGAATAAGGATTAAGCAGATATTCTGCTGATTTGAATTACCCCTCCACCCAAGTTATTCAAGAAAAAATGGTGTCTTTGAGGAAGAAGCAGGGCAATGAAGGTAAAGAAGATGACTGACAAGCCATAAAAAAATGAAAAAAAAATCTTCAAATTTAAAATTAAAAATAAGAATGGCCTCCTAGTTCCAATCATGATGGAGTAATGGGAGTTAGACTTACCCATTGTAATCAACTATAAAACTCTAAAAAAATATACAAAGCAATGTTTTCATACGATGGGTGGCAGTCCAGGACTGATTTTTAAGGGAATAAACAAGCGATGAGCCCTATAATCATCTTGACTTCCTGTGTGAGGGTAATTTTTAAATTATCACAGGAAGTGCAGTATGTCTAGATGGGAGAAAACATCACAGTTCAGGGTTCCTGCTGGAATTTGCTGAGCAGGGTACTTGAGAGGAGAAAGCTACACAGAAGCTGCTCCAGAAGTTTACGTAATTATTTCCTTGAGTCTCGCTCAATACTGAACTGAGTACGGGGTGAGAAACTGTGAGGCCTGGCAGAGGTCAGCACCTGTAAAGCTAGGTGCTGAATGGAGATTCTGAAGATACACAGTTCTGGAAGACATTGGAGTTCTGGCCAGCCAGTGGAGCCAGACCTTGCTGAACACCACAAGCATTCTATTGAGACACCCACCCCCCCTCCAAAAGACAAGGCCTTGAGAATAGGGTTACTCTAATTCTGCCTAAAACTAAGTNCTTGGCACAAAACTGAGGCTCTTTAAAGGAAGACAATATCCAGACTCTCACAACATGTCCAGCATACAATAAAAAATTATTAGGGGTGCAGACAAGAAAATGGTTCACAACCAGGAGAAAAGCTATAAAACACCCAGAATTGATACAGATGTTGGAAATAGCACAGAAGTACTTTAAAACAGTTAATATATGTTCAAAAAATTAAAAAGGTTGGCAATCTAAATGGAATCTCAGAAGAAACACTAAAAAGTGGCCATTGCTGAAAAATACACTCTGAAATGAAAAATTCACTATTCACTGGATGAGTTAAACAACATATAAGATACTACAGAAGAAAAGATAATGAACTCGAGGGCAGGTTAATAGAAACTAAACAGAAGTAAAAGGACTAAAAAGCAATCAGCAGACATATGACACATAGGATAATGTCAAGTGGTCAAACAGGTATAGTTGGAATCCA